CAAACTCCTAGCAGGTGTTAACCATCCCCTTGACTCATATCTTGTGGTCGAACGAGACGTAGTTACATTAAAATCCATGCACGCAAGCAAAAGTATAAAAGTTCTATAATACATTACCTAGCAAATATACTCTGTGACGAACAGGTTGTTAAAGTTAACCTGGTTAATAACCTGTATTCTTAAACATGTCTCTAATTTGGAAAGTTGTACAGTTTTCAGATATTTTTCACCCTTTTCCTTTCTTCTTTGTTGTTGTTGTTGTTAGGTTTTTTTTCGTAAAAGAAACTTGTTGAAATACCATCCAAAATGTTTCCAGTAATTCTGACACCATTCATAAATAAATTATTCATTGAATTCTTAGACTTGTAAATCTAAACATTTTGATTTCCTTGATAGGTTAACTCAAGTTAAGCAAGAAAATAAATAATAATAAAAAAACAACGTCAACTCACTTCATCCATAATAGAAAATCTCTTCTATTCTCTCTCTATTACGTAATTATTACATGGAATACCTGTCATTAGTTCTTGTATTCAAACATTAATAATATAGAAGAGCTAAGAATAATTTATGAGCTAGTAACATTATTTATGTTATATATTTCAATAAGTATCTATATAACAAAATGTATTTACCTTATAAAGATAAGTTAAATGACCATGTAGAATAAACTCAACTTATTATTATAGTCAGAATGGGGTTTTATGGAGATTTTAGTAAATTCAATTGTTGAGATCATGAGTCAATTGAAGCTAGATCATCATTGAAAACCTGAAAACACTGGATGGCTGTCTGGTTCCATTGCGGGTCTCCTCAGTAGTGCACATCCACGACCTTGCCTCGCGGGGTCCGAACCCAGGACTTGTCATTCTCGCGTGCAAGTACTTAACCACTAGACCACTGAGCTGGCCGGCATCCAACAGTGTTAATGTTTAACTTTAACCAATCCACGAAATTGAGCGACACATCCACCATTGCCTCCAGAGAGTTACTATCTCACAACAGACCTGGTTGAACTCCACTGGTTACTGCTTCTCACTAGAACTACAGGATATACATCTTGAATCCAATCACTAGTGAGCATGGTGGTTTAGCTTCAATTGACTCATGATCTCAACAATTGAAATCACTAAAATCTCCACAAAAACCCATTCTGATATTAATCAACATAGATTATCTCATTCTTATCCCTTGTATTTCCATCAATTATTTCACAATAACACTAATAAAAAAACAACCTATAATCAGTATAAATTATTCATGTTTGTATTGAACAACTAACAGTCCATTAGTTTCAGTGTTCGATAAATAAAAATTATAAAATCTTTTTTTCTTTTAATTAGCCATAAACAAACAAATCATCAGTCAATTGAAACTAGATCACTATGGAAAACCTGGGAACACTGGACGGTTGTTTTGTTCTATTGTGGGAATCCTCAGCAGTTTACGTTCATGATCCCGCCTCTAACTATTCTAACCTAGGATGAAACTGCCGTCTAGTGCTTTCAGGTTTTCTATGATGATCTAGCTTCTATTAACTCAGAATTATTATATCATGAAAAAAATATTCATTTAAAAGTTACTACTCACATAATAATAAATCGGATATATTTTGTAATTAATATAGACCATTAGCCTAGTTATTAATGAGCTGATGTTTAAATTGAATGTGAACAGAAGCATTGAGATACAGGTACATCTAATTAAATTAATATTGAACATGAAGAAACATGTACCTTAGATCCTACCGCTAACAACTATCCAAAAAAAATTGATTTTTTCTTTTGCTTAGTAACCCAATGTATCTTCTTTCAAGTTAACAATCTATAGTATAAACCGTGTTAAAAGTTAATTAGTATTAATGTTAGTTAAGAACATGAGTTTTTAGTTCTTGATGTTTGAAGCATCAATCACAGTAACTAAGTGGTATTCATTATTTTCCACTTCTAAATCATGAGGATTTTACTATCCTTTAATTTATAGATCAAAATGTCTTCATTTTTCATTTTTCATACACATAGATCCCTTATCATTTTGAAAAGAGCCAGAACAAACATTCTAGAAGAATAGCATGGATTCATTTTATTTCGTATGGTTCTCGTCAGCTGCTTACAACCTGTGATATTCAAGAGTCAAAATTACATGATAAGTTTCAATTACTGACATGAAAGAATTTACTTGGAAACTATATTGAAGGCATATTAGTATAGTATAGCAAGGGTGTAAATAAAATGAATAGACTGAATATTGTAAATACACACCTTATGTAAAAGAACATTGTGATAACAGTTCAAACAGCTAGAAACAAGTAAACTAGACAGTAGGTTAGTGTTCACGCGTGAGACTGAAAGCCATGAGTTTGGATCCCGCGAGCGGGATCGTGGATGTGCACTGCTGAGGAGTCCCACAATAGGACGAAACGGCTGTCCAAGGCTTCTAGGTTTTCAATGGTGGTCTAACATTAATCGGTTCATGATCTCAATCAAAAACTTAACAATCTCCACAACCCCTATTCTGATAAATATCATTTTATTCTTATCTTAAAACATGGAAATTAAACAGAAGCAAAAGAAGCTTTAACAACCTACTCATTGAATAACAATTGAATAAGTCTTTATATATAAGGTGAATAATGTATAACTAATAGACCGCCGATTAGAATCAAAATAACAAATATAAATAAAGTGAGTCTACCTAAAGGATGTTCAGAATTAATAAAGAACAATTAACAAAAGCTCTTTGTGAAAATTGACAATGACCACTACAAGCAAATAAAGATAAACACGCATCATAAAACAGTGTGTATCAGCTTGTCACGATACGATTGCAAATATGATTAAGTGTTTATGATCCACAATAAGATAAAAATTTTAAACAACTGAAAAAATTCTCAAAACTGTTGATTTATTTCACTACTGATTTCTAGTTATTTTTTATAAAAAGTTATAAGCTACTGAAAACGATTTAAGTAGCACTCGCAGATATTATTTAAAACTTAATGTTCAAAGAAAATAAGCTCAATTTATATATGGATTTGGTCAGAGAATTAATTAGTTACGCCTGTTACTGGCGCATAGGCCGCCAACCAGTATTCTCCATCCCACTCTATCATGAGCCTTCTCATGTCTGTCTCCATTTCTCAGAGTAATATGTCCTTTGGTCTTCCTCTTCTTCTTTAACATTGAGGGTTCCAAGTGATGAAGGCTTGCCTTGTGACTCACTTAGTTGCTCTCCTCAATGTGTGTCCTATCCACTTCCACTAAATAACTGTTCTACAATAGCTTGAGACTTAACAGAAATGATCAGCCATGAAGGTACCTTTAAGTTAGTAAGTAATCTGAAATTTCATGATTCTCTCCCTAAGAAGGACGTAGGTGTAAATAAGGTCACACGAAAACAAACCAGTATCAAAGACGTTTACTCATTTCGAAATAGATACAAAAGTGACGGTTATAGAATGATTAACATTTATATCAGAAAGGTTTTATGTATTTTATAGCAATTTCAATGGTTAAGATGATGAGTCAATTGAAGCTAGACAACCGTGGAAAACCTGGAAACACTGGACGGACGTTTCGTCCCATTGCGGGTCTCCTCAGCAGTAAGCATCCACGATCTCACCTCGCGTGGTTCGAACCCAGGACCTGTCAGTCTCGCGCGTGAGCACTTAACCACTAGACCACTGAGCTGGCCGGCATCCAACGGTGTTAATGTCTAACTTCAACTAATTCACGAAATTGAGCGACACATCCACCATTGTCTTCAGTGAGTTACTATCTCACAACTAACCAGGTTGAACTCCACTGATTACCGTTTCTCACTAGAACTGCAGGATAAACCTCTTGAATCCAGTCATTAGTGAGCATCTGTTGATTCATATCATAAAGTGTTTTGTGTATATTATAGAAATTTCAATAGTTAAGATCATGAGTCAATTGAACCCAGACTACCATGGAAATCCTGGAAGCACTGGACGGTCGTGGGTGCGCACTGCTGTTGAGTCCCACAATAGGACGAAACGGTCGTCCAGTACTTCCAGGTTTTTCATGGTTGTCTAGCTTCAATTGACTCATGATCTCAACCATTGATTTACATTTGTTGAATTTCAAAAATTATTTACAAATATTATGTTAGCATATTATTTAAAGAAGCAATAAGTTTTCTACGCTTAATTCCTCTTATATAAACAATCTATGTTTATTGTAAAATGATTCATACATAATATATGACCAGAAAAAATCACTCTCGTCCTAGTAACTAAATCAGCATCGTATATTGTGATAAGAGACTATTTATTTATCCCAAATTTACATATGACAAAACAAGCGATTTTTCTTATTAATGATTTTAATAGAGTTTTGTTCTCTGATCTAGATGGTTTAGTTATAAAACTTTCATTGTTCTTCTGAACAATATCATCAGCACAAACTTTAAATAGAAGTGAAGCATTCAAATTTTTTCACATATGGTGTACACATCGATATTGATTAGTTCTTGTTGATTCTAATTATATTTTATACTACTGTAGTGAAGGAGAACACAGTTGAGGACAACCGAATTATATTTAGCACAACATTACAGAGTTACTTGGTAAAATAAAAAAAACCACACTATAATACCTAATTTGCAAAATGTTTGCAATAATTGTCTCGAACTTCATTGTTCTTGCATTTCCAAACTAATTGCTTTCTATTCCCGTTCTTCCTTTCTTGATCTTCCTCATCTTCTGCTGCCAGATATTACATTCCTGACTCGTGTCATATACTACTTATATCAATATAAATAACACGCACCACACTACTACTGATTAACTGAATTTAGAAAATTTAACCTTTTCAATAATGATTTATTGATTAAATTGTATCAAACATTCTGAAATCTAGAGTTTGATATTCACTAATGATCGATTTATCGATTTATTGATTAAATTTATTGATTATTCTTTTTTGAAAAATTTAAACAAGTTAAATCCTATCACATCTCTATTTATGTTATTGAATTAAAATTCAATCATCTAATAATGTTCTCATTAAAATGGTGTATTATTTATCTTATCAATGATTATCTATTCATGAATTTAATTAAATGTCAATTACAATTCAATGATCAATTATATTATTATAGAATAGATAATTGTGAATCAACAATAGAATTAGGTAATTGGTGTGAATGGTCAGAATGGTCAAAATGTGATTTCATTACATGTACAAGACAACGTATACGTGAATGTAATTGTCCTAAACCATTAAGTTGGACAAAATTAACAGAATGTAAAACATATAAACCACAAAATGATTATCGTATAAATAATGTAAGTAATTGATTTTTTTTATATATTTTGTTATATCCCGATGAGAATCATGAATGGTAACTAATGGGATCTATTGATGGACCAACACTAAACGTATATTTTTATTGGATATTTATTAAGTAACTAAACTATTGCATATTCATGTTCCGCTTATTATAAGCTTTATTTTGACCCATAAACTATTATTATACGTTTTACCATTCTTGAATTATACTCAGTATATTAATTACTAAATAAAGGGCGGTCTGCTTGAGCATCTGGGTTACCTGTTCCTGCCATCTAGATATTTCAACAAGTTATCTATTTTTGTTTGTTTTAATATTTCATTATGTTTATTAATCGCCTAACCTATTCTGCTGCGTTTCTGAAAAGTGTACAACCTTTCGTTGTCAAAGTTACAAAAAGCTCAATAAGAGACAATGAAGTTGCTGGCAATATACAACGAAAAGAATGCACATTACTCAGATGTTCATTTACCGAACCTCTAACATCTAACTGGCGATCACTCAATATTTATCACCAGGACCGATCAAGAAGAAAGAAACGGAAACTTGTTGAAATACTTTGTGCTGAGAATTCTATATTGTACCAAAAATATAATATTGAATAAAGGTGATAATAATAATAATACCTCTCTCATTCATAGGCACATCTGGCCAGTTCTTGTACAAATGTTATTTCATATTTTATTGGTACAGTGTGGTCCGTTTGATTGGTATATAAACTCAGTATGTTTGAAATATAAGGATTCATATTGCAGAAGCTGAGATTGGTGTTTTGGACTTAACTGGCCGGGCTAGACACGAATCAGGATCAATCAAGACTCTAGACTGCTCGCACGTGTTTTACGCGTCCTTGCTACTGATTGGCGGCTTTGGGCTATAACAATTTTATAATTATAAGTTTATAATCATATTTTAATGATTTATTTGTTTAAACTAACTATGAATTGAAGTTCTTCAATGATAAAACAATTAAATGAATGTAACAACTTACTGTGAGAGAGAACAAACTAGATCTCAGTGGAAGAAGAAATCACGAAGAAGTGTTGGAAGTGGATAGGACACACATTGAAGAAAGCAACTAACTGCGTCACAACGCAAACCCTCATCATTTGGGATGCTCAAGGCTAAACAAAGGAGAAGAGGTAGACCAAAGAACACATTATGCTGAGAAATGGAGATAGACATGAGAATGATCGAAATTGGATACTAGAAAGGAACCGAGGACAGAGTGGGATGGAGAATGCTGGTCGGCGGTCCATGCTGCATTAGAAGTAAATATGTGCTAGGTTTGAAGTGGTTACGAGTTCACTCATTCTTTGAACGGAAAAAAAGACTCGGTGACCAAAGACCAATAGCTAGCTATTCGATGAATCCCAGCCCCGCTAACTAGAGGAAAAGTCCGCTTGAAATGAGAAGTATATTCCGCAAAAGCCAGAAGCACGAGCGATAACAACAGACACAAATCAAAACGTATATATACAGTACAAAACCGTCCTTGGGAAGAGTTACAAATAAATACTAAAAGACACAACGGACCAGCATTTAAGATCTCCTAAGTGGGAAATACGACATGAAGGTGAAAAGAGCGCTTTTGGCGCGAAAATATGGAAATTCAAATTTTCTAAATAAAATGACAAAATTAGGTCCTTTTCCAAGTGAGTTCTGGGGATCTGACTAATCCTCAATCAACACTATAACTAGTTAAATTTAATAGTTTCAGGATATCGTCATAAAGCATTGTCATAACTTGACAATCACGTAATATGACAGATAAAATTAATGAAACTATTAACGAAATCGGTCAACAAATTGACTTATAATTATTATTAAATGGTGTTGTTTTCTTGGTATCTTCATCCATCACAGATGATTACAGTATGTTTCTCTATCAGTTGCTCATTCAGTAAATATCTCAAAACCTTGTCAGTCTAATTGATGGTTTAGCGACACAATCATGCATGCAAATAATCAGTATAATCAGTCGAGCGAATCTCCTGCAAACTGAAAACATCAATGTCGAATTTACCCCAACACTGACTAAGGTTCAAGCCATTATCATAGACATGAGTTGGGAGTGTACTCCCCTTGGTTACAACTTATGTACTCCCTGATAATCACATGAGCATCACTCACGGTTAATCATCTTGTAAAAACGTATTTGACCGAGTACATCTTACAGCACCACATCACTTAGTAATGTGACACAGGCTTAACTGATTTCAGTAACTTATAATCACCATATCTCATTTAAATCGTATTCTGCCCGCATACGTGCAACTAACTTGTATGCCCATCAGCCGGCAAGTATAAATATAAATAAATAGTCTATCGCAGATCAGAACATTGAGTCTAGAGCATGTCTCTTACGAACACACTCATGTTTAACGATTTTTCCTAGCTATCTGTCCAAAATCCATATAATCATCACTCATGTATTTAAATTTTATTTTGATAACCATTCATGTGTATTAGTAGTATTACTAAATTCTATCACGGTCAAGTAAAAATGAGGTTGAGAAAATCTCCCCGTAACTAAATAAACCGTATCAAACTAACTGGAACACTAGTTGGAATTCTTCCCCACGGTATACTTTTGTTCCTTCAGTTAGCCTACTAATACAGATGCAATTGGAAATCACATATGGACGGGTTACCGGCATAATTGTTAATTGGTTTCATAATTGAAACCAAAACTAATACCAATATTAACATTTCTACAATATTAATAATTTAATATTTCTAAACACAAAATAATTACTGCCTATAAGTTAAGTTATTAACACGCATCGTTTTATTATTATTATTGTAATCCCATTTTTTATAGTTCAAATAATCTTCAACCAAATTTTCATTTTAAGCGTGTAATCATGAAAGCAGATATTTTAAGATTATTACATGTATTTCCCGACCAGATGCTGCCGTCTTTTTGATTTATCTTTCAGCTTATCAATACCCGGAGGATCCTTATTATCCTTGGTAACCTCCGGCGCGCGACGATCCCATCCAATTTGGTATCGAACCAACATCACGTTGATTCTGGTGGGAGAGTAGTGTAGTGGCATTGGACAATAGCCACACAATCCACAAAGCTGTGAACACGAGACTACTCAGAAAATAGATATTCAATATTTAACTCGGGGAAATACCTAACAATGGAGAAGGCGCGGAGAATGAATTGGATGGATTGGAGTTGATCGGATGGCATGGCTCGACCATGCAGGCGTGGTCCATCTGAATGTTACCTTATATCTTCTATTCATATTAAATATATTGTTCCTTCTCTAGCCTAACCTTGTTCTACATCATGTATTGGTAATTGATACGATACAGTGAGTTGGTGTAGTCGATGGTGTGACTTCCACGTAAGATCTTATAGATTAGGCAGTTATATCATGACAAATCTACAAATTTGGGATTAGGTCTATTATAAGAGCAGTACTAATATCATAGTAGACCATAATTCCACATTGGTGAGCCCAACTAAAGAAACGCAACCCATTACTGTTAATCCTTATTTCCACCTTAACCTTCTCAATCGGTTTTTATTTTTGTAAACCCAGTATTCGTATAGTCCTTTGATTAATGGTCACATATATTATCGTAATGTTATATCTATCAGTTCACATAACTTACTAGCTCAATCGATAATAAAAGTTGATCATCTATATCAACTAATTAGCTTTGATGGTTCGTTAACAAGCTTTAATAGCATTTACATGCTTCAGCGACATAGACTTGTTTAAACATCAAGCTCTAGCAAATATGACCTGTAAATAGCGTAAATATACATTGACTAACAATGCAATCAAGGACTAAATAGTTATCTGGATCTAATTCTCAGTGTTCCTTCACTCAACACATCCTGTTTTAAACTACGCACTATCCTGTAATATCTTTCCTTCCGACCACTGCCTGCCTAATTTCATATTTCGAGTTCCATTGCCAAACAACAAGGATGATACTTCTCCAAAAACACGGTGAGTTCCAGCTATAAGTTTTCTGCAATCATAAGTTCATTTTAGATGGTTCATTCAATGGCACACACAATTATCTGGATTCATTCAGTTGTTCTGATCAGAGTGAGTCCCAAAAACCTCAACAGCATCGAGCACCCTGAAAGTGATTACCATACTGCATGTTTTATTCTGGATACTTTTGGATCATTACTACTCATGAATGGCGTTATATATGTCGTCCACTGAATAATCTAACTTTCAAAAATAACCCAGGCGAGTTCAACTATTTTACTTAATGATTTTTTTTTACTTAACATGTATATGTTTTCCGGTTCCTTTTGCTATATATTTGTAAGTGTCCCTAGGCTAAATGCAGTAACTTCTTATGGAATGTTTATAACGCATCATATTCCTGCCTGAAGTTTCACAAGCAGTCTTAACTTTAAAATTATTTTCTGGTCACGTTCATTATTTTTAAATCGTCATATACGTCAACAACCTGCATGTTAACCTGGCCCATACATACGTTACACTGTATCTCCATGTCTTCTAAATTTAGAAATCATCTGAATCGCCTTTAACATTTATCAATAAACCCATCATAGTCGTTGTTGCTAATCGTATTTGGGTTTATGGATTGGTTTATCATATTAGCAGCCTAAAATGCGAACATAGTTTAGATAATAAGATTAAAAGTTTAGGTACTATCAACTGCACTAGTAAAATAACTAAATCCCTAGGTAGCTGTTGGCTAAACAAAACTCCGTAGCCTACTAGAATTAACACTAAACGAATATTTCTGAATTAAAATTTATAATTAAATTAGGCGTCTCGGATTCTTTAACGTTATAAATTTCTGATGATTTCGAATCACCTAAAGCAACAATACCTATTTTTCTACTGACTAATCCTCAATCAACACTATAACTAGTTAAACGTAATAGTTTCAGGATATCGTCATAAAGCATTGTCATGACTTGACAATCACGTAATATGACAGATAAAATTAATGAAACTATTAACGAAATCGGTCAACAAATTGACTTATAAT